AGGGAATTGTGTTGTCTGGCTGGCTGAATCCCAGACTGACATAGACATGAAAGATGCCAATCCAGATCCTTGCCTAAACTTGTCAGGCCAAGGAAAACAGCATGAAAATGGATGGCTCTTTGAGACACTCTTTATGTTGCCCAGGTGTCCAAGCACATTGTAGATCTGCATGTTTTCTGAGCCAATTACTCCCTGCCAAAATCCAGATAGTGGTATCTGAATAAATTGTTCAAATCGCATACACCTTATTCTCTCTACAATGTTTAACTCTCCCTCTCTCTTTTAATATTGTGCCCATCCTTGGTCTTCAGCACAGCTGTTAACACAAAACTGCTCAGATTTCTGCATTATTTTCCATAATTTATTCTGTGTACAACCGTAAGTTTTTCAAAGAATTTAGTGTTCTTGACAAGAGGTGGGGAAACAGAAATGCGTAAAGAGAGAGAAAGGACTGGATACTGAGACCTAAACGCTTGTGAAAGGGGTGTGTACTGGGAATAGCTACAGGGCAAAGAGAATAGAGAACCAAAGTCCCAGCTCTCAATCACTGGCAGTGCTTCACCAAATGCTACAAAAAACCAGCTTCTTTCTACTTAATAGCTTTAACTAGGAAGTAACTACTTGTACCATAATCATACCCTAGATCAGTAGCTCCCAACCTTTTTTGCCCATGCCCCACCTAAGCATCTCTAAAATCCTGATGCCCTCCCCCCCGTGAGATATCATTCTTATTATTTAAAAAGTGAACTCTTATCCACGTGGAGGAAGCCTAAAATGAGTTATTAACTATTAATAACTCATTCTCGAATTCCCACCCCCTTAAAAATCAAATTGCCCCCCTGTGGGGTGTGTACCCCACATTGGGAACCATGGTCCTAGACCCAAGCCCAGGAGGGGGTGACATTTCAGGGTCAGGACATCCTGGACTGCAGGCCCATTACCATGAAGAAGAATAAAAGAGGCTAAATTGCCAGACTTAATTATCTGTAACTATATGGAGTATCTGGACGCGGGTGGCACTGTGGTCTAAACCACTGATCCTAGGGCTTGCCGATCAGAAGGTCAGCGGTTCGAATCCCCGCGACGGGGTGAACTCCTGTTGCTCGGTCCCAGCTCCTGCCAACCTAGCAATTCGAAAGCACGTCAAAGTGCAAGGCAAGTAGATAAATAGGTACCGCTCCGGTGGGAAGGTAAACAGCGTTTCCGGGCGCTGCCCTGGTTTCGCCAGAAGCGGCTTAGTCATGCTGGCCACATGACCCAGAAGCTCTACGCCGGTTCCTTCGGCCAGTAAAGTGAGAGGAGTGCTGCAACCCCAGAGTCATTCATGACTGGACCTAACAGTCAGGGGTCCCTTTACCTTTACCTTTTATACGGGGTATCTACTAAAGGTGCACCATATATATCCACTACCCCCTGCACACTTTTACAGGGCCATTCATACCTTGAAAAAAATTGGGGTGGGGATATTTGGAGACCTGGGGAGGAAATGGCAAAATTCTTACACCTTTTTAGGCTCTCTTTTAGGTTGCTGGCTCTGTAGAGCAAACACACAAACAAACAAACAAAACATGCTTATAGATGAAATTCTAGAATTTGTGGTTTGAGACACAAGAGAGTCCCGTGCCACTCTGTGTGACATGCTGTCTCAAGAGCAACAAGCCCCAAAGAGTTCCTGCTGGCATTTCCTAGTCTGAGGCACCAACAGGGTCTGGCAGCAGGAGGGTGGAGGAAGCACTACAATAATCAAGGGCATTAACATCACAGGCAAAGTGGGAGTCCATGTTGCCAATAGGATTTCTAAGCCCCAGGACATATGTGGCTTCCGAATCCTGGCCTGCTTGGAAGCCGTTGACCTTAGTTTCAGAGACGTACATAGGGTCCCTTGCATCAAGCTGATACAGCACCCACCTACCCACCCGCCGAAAAATATCACTTTACTGCACACTTTTGTGCCATGGTGCAGGAAGGACTGGAAGCTTCTCCTGCATTTGAATTCACTGCGACAGCGGCAGCATGCCACCACACACATATATTGTACACTCCATAGTCTGAGAGAAGAAGAAGAGTTTGGATTTGATATCCCACCTTTGACTCCCTTTAAGGAGTCTCAGAGCGGCTAACGTTCTCCTTTCCCTTCCTCCCCCACAACAAACACTCTGTGAGGTGAGTGGGGCTGAGAGACTTCAGAGAAGTGTGACTGGCCCAAGGTCACCCAGCAGCTGCAGGTGGAGGAGCGGAGACGCGAACCCGGTTCCCCAGATTACGAGACTACCGCTCTTAACCATTACACCACACTGGTGATTTCTTCCCCCTCCCTGGGCCTGTGCCCCCCAGCGGGGGCCAGTTTCACAAAACCCCGGGTACGTCTCTGCTTAGTTTCCAGTTCACATATGGCAGTAAGCTATGGTAAACTTCACTTCCTACTTTGTTTTGTCCACTCACATGAAGGAAGGAGTGAAGCAGCAGCAAGGGGGTTCTGTGTACTTGCATGAATTTCCATTCATTCATTCATTCAAAACATGTACCTCCTGCTCTGCAACTGGAAAAGCCCCCAATTAAACAACTAGCAAACCAGGCTTTCAATACATGAAGAAAAGGGGATGGGAAGCGAAGAGGAATAGAAGCTCAACCTATTATTCTGTAACTACTCCTTTTGCAGTTTGAATCCAACCTTTACACTATCTTGCAGTTGTTACTTTTCTGCCTGTATTAAGAGAAGCCTTTTATTCCTCCCCTCTTTTGATCCTCACATTCAGTTCATCACATCATTGTCCCAGGGGTCATGGCCAGAGGTTAGGGTGCACCACCTTAGAGATCAACAGGAAGCTCATTGGATAGGAGCACCTGCAGAAGAGCCTTTGAAGATAGCTTACATTGATTGGTCAGATGTCACCAGTGTATTTGGTCTCAAGGGGAGTGCATAGAAGAATGGATCTGAGAGATGGGGAGCAATGTCTAAAGGGCATTTGTTATTTGTGTAAAATTAATATGTATGCTCGTCATATTCTCATGTCTGGCAGTCATGCAGCCAGAAACACAAGAAACTTAAACAAAGGGACCTAAAAAGCCCCAAGGGCACCAATCAATGCTCTAATATTTCAAAATAGGAAAAAAGGAAGCAGATCTGTGTTACAACTTTGTATTGGGTGCAGAGGAGTAATTATTGGGCCCTGAATATGCGCTACAGGAGTGTAAGTTGTGGATTAGCCAATTGTGTTTACACCACTGATTTTGCACTGAATGCAATGTGTGCATATTGCAGATAAATCACAGCATCATTTTGTACCATGAACATATGGTGTGAACCATAACTGAAAATCACTTTTATGATCCTGCTTATGAATAAGATAATCTGTATCGCTAATTTAGTTAGGTGGTGGTAACTGTGTACTTTTGATTTAATTGTGGTCATCTAACCTGTTTTCTTTTGCATATTCATCATTTATTTATTGATTTAGATTTCAGTTGGGGAAATATGATGCAAATACCCTTAGCAAAATAAAATGTGTAGCAGCAAGAGTGTCTTGCAAATATAGCACTTCTTAAAGTACCCCTCTGAGACACCCTGCTTATTCAGTGTTTTTAAAGGTGCTCTAGTTAGCCTCATTGTACATGCTCAATGCCAGACTGTTCCATTGAACAGTGGGGTTGCATTCCTATTGGCCTTGGGAAAGTGTTGGAATGAAAAAAAAAACCCTCAAAGAAGAAGTTGGGTGAGAATGAAGGCTTGGTGAAATTTTAACATTTGTAGATTTTCCTGCTTTAGTTGCTAGTTTTTATTTATTTATTTGTATCTTTTAAAAAACTGTATATCATCTCTCTCCCATTATCAACATCTTAGCTAATTAACAATATCAATAAAATGTCCAAAGAACAATTATTAAAAAACAAATAATCATGTGACTAAGGTAGCAGCCAGAAATTACTTTTGCTAACAAGACGGGTTTGGTATAATTTCAAAGTAAAGATTCCTGCTGTGGATCAGCCACTGACAGGATCACATGACTAGCTATTGTTACTGAGAAATCTGGTATAATGAGAATAAAAAGCAAAGTAAGACATACAAAAAGTAAGCAGACCACCCCACTTTAGCATATCAGCTGACTAGGGAAAACAAAGAACCACTACCACAAAAAGGGGTAGATTTTAAGAGTGCAAGAAAAAAAATATTTATAAAATACAGTTAACATAAATACCAAAAAATACAAAACAAATTAATTTTTCACTTTTGGTAGAGTTTGTGAATGCCCCCTCCCCTTTAAATTTTGTGCAGGGGGTGTAAAGTAAACTAATAAACACATTGTGAGCAGTTGCCATTACTGTTAAAGTGGATCAGTTTTCACAAGCTTATTTGCATCAAAGCATTCTTTTTAAAAGTTCAAACAACAGAGAACATCCTTGCAAGACATAAATGTTGGTACTGCCAAAGCAAATTATTGGCACTGGTTTGACTGATCTCATCCCTCTTTACTACCCACTGTTTGCCACTTTAATGGACACATCCTTTTGTTACTAACTGTGACACATAAACTCAGCCTTCAGAACCAAAAGCAGCTTTCTGAACAAGACCTTGTTTTACCAATCCATTTGTCTATTCAACACTATAAAGTGTTTCTTTTATGTACAATGGCCTTGTAAAAATACCCTTTATAGGTAGTTACTTATGTAGCTCAGGTACAATGGCAGGTACTCCAGGGAGTTGCTTCCAGGACTTAAAAGCAAGACTGGTTAACAGAACAGTCATAGTCCACAAAGGGAGCAGGATTGTTGTTTCTTTAAGTAGGCACCAATTATAGTCAAGGGAGGCAAGCATTCTTTTCTATGCCCAGCTTTGGCACATATTTCGATTGGGCTAAGGTGATGAGGCTCTGTCAACAATGTGCTCCTTTTGTGTCGGTTGTGCTGCGATTAAACATAACACCCACCCTTTCTCACTGCGACAAAGTTTGAGAACCCTTGACATTAAAGTAATTTGAGCATTGTTGTTTTTGGTCTTTTAGAAAAGCCAGAAATGGATGAATTCACCTTGGAAAGAGTACTGGAGGAGCTGGAGACGCTGTGCTATGAGAACATGAACGTTGCCATCGAGACAGAAGAAGGTCTCGGCATAGAGTACGATGAGGATGTCGTGTGTGACGTGTGCCGCTCGCCAGAAGGAGAGGATGGCAACGAGATGGTTTTCTGCGACAAATGCAACGTCTGCGTGCACCAGGTGAGTAGAATTTCTCACTTTGCTGAGGCAGTACAGCCCCCTCCCCCAGAGGACTTAGTTGCCTGACACACACCAGAACCAAGAATGACAGCCATCCTCCAGCCATTACTGCTGTGGCTTGTCACGTCCTCTCATGACATGGGAAAGTTTGGGCTTTTCTTCACAGTTAGCATGTGCATTGAGACAACAGTCTTGCCTCAGAGGTAAGAGAGAGGAATCACTGTGCTAGGGAATAGAGGATGCTGCCAAACTCATCCTGCTTCTAATCTCCTGCCTGCCTTTTGCATTTCTTATTCTTCGGTATTTATGTTCTTCATATGTTATTTCTCTCTGCATTTTGTTTTGTATTGTATTGTGTTCACATTATTGCTTACCATGATATTGGAGGAAAAAGAGACTTCCTTCAGGCCCACCTGAACATAGACTTAAGTAAATTCACACATGCCTGTGTTGACCAATAGCTTATGCTGGTATAAAAACAGTAATATAATGGGTGTAAGGCATGGGGCTAAGTTCTTAAGTTTCGCCCCATGATTTCCTTCCCCTTTTTTACTCAAGTATAGTTGAATCTGGTATATCTTTAACTACTCATTTACATGCCCTTTTGTAACAAAGTGCTGGTTGATGATTTAATGGCCTTGACTGAGCTGAATATGGCTGTGACTAAGAGAGGATCTTGGATAAGTTGCTCGCAGTCAATTTAATAGACAAATACGTAGCAAATATCCTATGCAGGTCTGTCCAGTCAAGTTTCCCGACTGTCCTTTAGAAGGAAAGAAAATCCATTGAAGTCAGGCCATCAATAGTGTGAACCTGACTCTGGGATGTTCTGTGTAATCATAGGTAGCTTCCTTTAGGCAGAGAGAACAGGCTTTCCCCTCTTTCTCTTTTGGCGGAGTTTCAGTGCTGCCACTTGCTAGCAGGATTTGCACCAGAGCATTTTGGGATTTAGAAAAAGAGTTGTTGAGGAGGACACAGGGCACAGCTTCCATCACTGGTGTCCATTTCCTAGTGGATCACAGTTATGCAAGTCTTTGATACGTTAAAAGTAAAACATTATCATATCTTCCAGAGATTACTCTTAGGATGTTACAAGACCAGCATTATAAAGAGGAGTCAACTCTAGTACAAAAGGTAAAGGTAAAGGTACCCCTGCCCGTACGGGCCGGTCTTGCCAGATTCTAGGGTTGTGCGCCCATCTCACTCAAGAGGCTGGGAGCCAGCGCTGTCCGCAGACACTTCCGGGTCACGTGGCCAGCGTGACATCGCTGCTCTGGTGAGCCAGAGCTGCACACGGAAACGCCGTTTACCTTCCCGCTAGTAAGCGGTCCCTATTTATCTACTTGCACCCGGGGGTGCTTTCGAACTGCTAGGTTGGCAGGCGCTGGGACCGAACAACGGGAGCTCACCCCGCTGCGGGGATTCGAACCGCCGACCTTTCGATCGGCAAGTCCTAGGTGCTGAGGCTTTTACCCACAGCGCCACCCGCGTCCCTAGTACAAAAGGTGCATGTCCTTAAATAGAACATGGAAATTAAATGTATTTCTACAGAAGTAGCCTCATGTATATGGAAAAAGTAGTCAGCATCATAGTGCTAGGAAGGCTATGGGCTTCTAACTTTTCCTTTCCAGTGAGTCTTCTTTTGTTTTTTGTTCCCTGCCCTCTTCATGTCTATAACAGCTCCTCACTTATATGACCAGCCTCTTGTCACTTTTTTTCTGCTTCCGTGTGTTGTGACACAGTATAAGATGCTTTAAACACATTTCCCCCCCATGAGTTCTAACGCCAAGGAGGCCCAGGAATCATAAAGATTTCTTACACGGCAGAATATAGTGTGGGCAGGCTATATCCCTGGGTTGATCCAGTATAATGGAAGAAAAGGGTTTCGATAACTCTTTAAGTGTTGTGTACATGAAATAATTTCAGAACATGCTCCCCCCCCCCCCGAATCAACTGTATACAACAAGCTGCACCTGTCAGACAGCTGCAGAAGTTCACTTCTCCTTTGTATCTGTTTACCCTCATCCAGACACATTCTTCCCTGGTTTATGTGCTTGAGCAATAAATTTATGCAAAAAGACACAGAAATGGTCCCTTGTGAGGTTTTTTATTTGTTTGTTGGTTTTGTCTAATTGCTTCATTTGTTGATTTCACAATTTCCCCCAATACATTCAAAAGCTACAATTTTAAAGAGAAGTCCAGCAGGGACAGCTGTATTTCCATGGTAGAAAAAGTTCATGGTGTTGAACTTTTGTCTGTCTTACATGGGACAGAGCCTTTGTCAGAAAAAAGGTGGTGCTTAATGCACCTCATTGGAGAGTTTCACGCTGTGTTAAGAAGCAAACATTTCTTTCTCTCACTCAAGGCTTGGGCTCATGATTGAATTCCTCCAGGAAGGCAGGAATTGCTATGTCAGACTGGCTGCATCTTGACCAGTAGCAACCAGCAACCCCGGTCCCTTCTGTAGCCTCTTTAAGACATTGCAGTAAACTGAAATATGGCTTACCAAAACAATGCAACTGAGCTGGCTCTCAGAAAGAAGCTTCCACCCACTTTGCTCCTCCTCAGTCCTTTTAGCTGTGCTACAGGTCATGGTTAACAAGGCGAGGCCTTAACTAGGATCCTGGGTTCAGATGTTCTGCTCAGCCAAGCCTTAACTTAGCTGCCCCACCATACTGTGCTAAAAGGACCGGGGAAGAGCAAAGTAGGAGCAAGCTCATAGTTTGCCTTATCATGACATGCAAACCACATGCAGACGAGGAAGGCATGCCTTGCAATTGCCCACAAAGTGTGTCACCAGCAGTTTCTGTGCACGCTAAAATTTTACGACCTTATTTTGGCCCTCTACCAAAAAGCAGATGAGAAAACGTTGCCTTTAAAAAACAACAACAGTCATATGAATTTCAAAATTGGAAACAGGTAGGGGTGCTGAGGGGGGGGACACGGGTGGCGCTGTGGGTAAAACCTCAGCGCCTAGGACTTGCCGTTCGCATGGTTGGGGGTTCGAATCCCCGCGGCGGGGTGAGCTCCCGTCGTTCGGTCCCAACTCCTGCCCACCTAGCAGTTAGAAAGCACAATTAAGTGGAAGTAGATAAATAGGTACCGCTTTCTAGCAGTAAGGTAAACGGTGTTCCGTGTGCTGCTCTGGTGCCGGTTCGCCGGAGCAGCTTCGTCACGCTGGCCACGTGACCCGGAAGTGTCTGCGGACAGCGCTGGCTCCCGGCCTCTAGAGTGAGATGAGCGCACAACCCTAGAGTCTGTCAAGACTGGCCCGTACGGGCAGGGGTACCTTTACCTTACTAGGGGTGCTGAGAGCTGGTTGGTCTTTGAAGGAAATACATTTTCGTTTGGTTCATTAGTACCCTTTGCTACTTCTTTGGGTGCAGCTTGTGTGTTCCAAACAAGTATGCTGTTGATCTCAGTGTAGGGATGCAAATGACAGGTGAATTTGAAGGCAGTTGATTATAGATTCCTCTTTGCTCCTAAGGATTTCTTCTTACTCCATTCTCTCTGGCACAGTTAAATCAAAGCTGTTTAAACACTGTGCTTCCAAGACACATGAGCTCAGAATGAAGAAAATGGATATTGGATTTTCTTTAAAAGTCCATAATGTGATTCACACACTAACCTACAAGTGAACTAACCTGGAAGGAAGAACACAACAATCTGGGACACATTGTGAATTTTAAGGAGCTTATAGTTAAAGATTGCAAACAGCTGCAGGAAAGAGCACAAATTCTACCTTTTCCAAGAGGAACTTTAAATTGTGCATCAACTGCCGTCTTGCCACACACGTCAGATCAATTAAATGAATAAGTCAGGAGCTGGTTTTGGATTACCTTTAGGCTTTAAAATTTACCACCTACAGAGGGACCTGCTAATGAGGCAGTGAGCTTTTAACGTCTAATGTATTCATTCCAGTATGGGTAGCCCACACTGATGGGCTTGAGCTGTAGCTTGTGTGGAAATGAACCTGAGGTGTTACTCTTTCTCCAAGAGTGCCTTAGTGACTTTCAGGGTGGCTTGAATTCAACATGAACATAAGGAATTGCTTTTTACTGAGTCAAAATGGTCCATTTACGCTGGGGGAGGGAGAACCTGTGACCCTCCAGATATTATTGGACTCCGGCTTCCATCAGCCCCAGCCTGCATGATCAATAGTCTGGGACAATGAGAGTTGCAGTCCAGTAAGATTGGGGTGGGGAATCTTTAACCCAAGAGTGTATGCTCTGACTGGAAGCATCTTTCTCCAAGGCTTCAAGCAGGTCTCAGGCTTCTTTAATCCTGCTAACTTGAAATGCAAACATACTCCCTCCCCCATTTTTTAAACCAGGAGGTGCCAGGATTGAACCTGGGACCTGCTGTATGTGACAAAAACTATCCTCTAGAAATCCATGACTCTTTAGTACAGGCATGTCCAAAGTCTGTTTCAGGGGCCTAATCTGGCCCGCCGTTCGATTTAATCCAGTCCCTGTAGCAGTATACGTCCTGGGGTAAAATCCTAACAAAAGCCCAACAACGTCAATCCTAGAAACAGCTCAACAATCTTGGGGTCAACTTCAACAACTTTGGTCAGCCCTCACGCATGTTCACTTCATCATATCTGGCCCTCTTTGAAAAAAGTTTGGGCACCCCTGCTTTAGGATGTTAATATGCCTAAACTGCCTCAAAAAAAATGAGAGCCCAGTACCTGTGTTCATTCCTCCCATGTTCACTCCTCTCCCAGTTGTTCATTAGTAGCAAAGATATCAAGCTCTGGGATTGTCAAAACACCAGAGAGAGGAAGAGCTCTGTAATGAGACCATCATTCAGCCCCCATCATGGGTGAGGGCCAGTTTAAGCTTAGGGCTGTCCACAGTACATATTTATTTATTTATTATTTCCATTTATTAATTGCTTCATTTCAAATATCTCAAAGCAATCTTGACAACAGTTTTTTTTAAAATTATGTAATTTAAATTAAATAATTAGTAAATTATTTGAAGTTCAATCTAGGCATAATTGCACAGTGATGTACCGTTTAAACATCATACATAATATGTGGGTGTATAATGAACGAAATCTGGAAGTTAAAGCCACTTATATAAATCATTTAAACTTTGCTGTGGAATCCTGAAAGGCGTGTTTGGAGCATGCCTGCCTACACACACACACACACACACACACACAGTTGCATAACTTCTAGAATACTTAAGATTTGGACACTTGTGACTTGAACTCCAGTGCTTTGTAAATAATCATACTGATGGATTCTCAAAGACTAAGAAAATAAGACTGAATAATGTAAGAAGTGCAATATGTCTACCAACAGGTTTAGCACATGGAATTAAATGTATCAGAGATAGCCACATTTAATTTGCCTGTCTTGGTTGTAGTGTATTTTACAGTGTTGTTTTCCATCCCTCATAAAAACAACTTACTCTTTGCAATATGTTTACTTAGGCTTGCTATGGAATCCTGAAAGTTCCCATCGGAAACTGGCTTTGCCGAACCTGTGCCCTTGGAGTCCAGCCAAAGTGTTTACTCTGCCCAAAGAGAGGGGGAGCTCTGAAACCCACCCGAAGTGGGACAAAATGGGTCCACGTTAGCTGTGCCTTATGGATACCTGAAGTAAGATACTAAATGACTTTCTAAGTAGTAGGTAGATGTTATGTAGATGAGATATTTTTGGATTTCACCATGCCAGGTACTGTCCACAATCATCACCTGTCATTCATGCCAACGATTATGTTGAGCACACAGGACTTAAGGATGCCTGAAATTAAAAGCTTATTGTTGAGCACTGTCATCTCTAAACAGTCCATTCATACATTCAGAACCTTCTCCATGCAATGTGCTATAATTATCCCCAGGGCTATTCACACTACAGTTGTAACATGCATTACAGGCATTCCATGGATACACCTGCAGTTTCCTGGTAGCAGTTTTCACGGTTTAATTCTGTTTCACACATTGCATGGTTGATGTGTCGAATTTAGTTTGTATCAGAGCCACCCTTAGAGTTCTGTTCTTATCCTTTGAGAAGATACAGGATGGCCAATAATTGGTGTGTTCTGTGTTGTGCTCAGGTTAGCATTGGATGCCCTGAAAAAATGGAACCCATTACGAAGATATCACATATCCCAGCAAGCAGATGGGCTTTGTCATGCAGTCTTTGCAAGGAGTGCACGGGAACATGTATTCAGGTAAGCAGTTATGTATAGTCAAACTGTGCACCACCCATATCAGAAAGATAAAGAAATTGTTTTAATGAAATGCATGTTGAGTCTCACTGGCAAATAATATACACAAGCGTGATGGCCTGGGAATCCGATTCAGAGAGTGAACCAGAGGAATCCCAGCCTGCACAGGAGTCCCCACCTCCAGGGCCGGCTGAACTGGGGCAGGGCCTTGATTCTGAGGAACCTGCACCTGTGCCGGATCCTCAGGAGCAGGCACTAGGTGAATCCATTCTGGCTCCAGAGGTGGTTGAGGACTCAGTGCCTACAGGTGAGTCTCCCCCTGGGCCCAATAACCCTTCAGCCTCTCCTGAACTGCAGAGGCTTAGGGCAGAGAGGCGAAGGGAACTGGTTTCTCCCAGGAGGAGTGCTCGCCTTAAGGCCAGGAGAGGCGGGGCTCCTGGGGGCCGGAACTGCCCCTGGCCTCAGAGAAGATAAAGGCCAGTCAGCCCGGTCCCAGGTTGCGGGAGTACCTGCTCCTGAGTACCTGCTCCTGTCCGGACCCAGACCTGACCCTCCAGTGTTCCTGTCCCCGCTCGGCTTCCTGTTTCGAACCTCGCCACGCTCCTTGCGAACTGTTTCCAGGCTATTGACCAGCACAGTAAGCAACCAAAAGGCACAACCTGTTTGGCCTTGCTGGGTGTTTATAACTTTTGATTGATTGATTGATTGATTGATTGATTGATTGATTTCATTTCTATACCACCTTTTTCTTCCAAGAAGCTCAAGATGGTGTACATGGGTGTCCCCCCTGTCAGAATGCTGGGTGGTGGTTGCTCGTGAGTAACCAGGCAGGACTCTGACCTGTCTTTTACAGGTTTTATTGTGCAAACTATTTACAGTGCAGATATACAAGGTTCATGTCAGTCTTAGTCACTTGCAGAATCCGGGAGTTGTCCCTTCCGGCTTCTCCCCCAACATAAGAACTTAGACACCCCAAATCTCCGCCTCCCCTCCTTGTGTTTCACCCCTCTACGCAAGCTTGGCGACGGAAGTGGCCTGTGTGCCTCCTGGCCAGCCGGGCTAGGTGAGGTGCTTGGGCTCTCAGCAGCATCTTTGAGCCCTCTCCTCGCTTGGCTGGCCCCTTCCCTCTCTTCTCCACTGGAGGTGTGGCTTTTCCCCTTGCTGGAAGAGGAACTGCTCCTTAGAAGCGTTGGAGGCTCCCTGTATCCCAATAGTGTCTCTGCCTCTCTCCCCTGTTCCAATGGCAGTCACCTGACACCCCCAAAAAATTTTCATCCTCACAACAGCCCTGTGAGGTAGGTTAGGCTAAGAGATGGTGACTGGCCCAAGGTTACCCAGTGCCCTTCTTGACTGAGTGGGCGAACCCTGGTCTCCCAGGTCATAGTCCAACCTGCTAACCATTATGTTACTTTACATTGACCTCACTGGCTTTTATCTCATGTGCAGCTTTTACTTGGAAGGGAAAGGAGATGGACTCCCCCTCCTCTCCTCTCCCAGTGTCTCCATGGAGTCAAGGGGGTTTGTGTGTAAATTATTTCCCTTCCTGTCAGGTTTTGCAGGAGGTAGCAGCAGAATGTTGGTCTTTTTTATCTTTAGTTCCCAGGTAACAAGATATGCCACTGAATACAGTCGAGTGTTCTTTTCCACTTCTTTTATCACAGTATTTTATCTTATCCAAGCTCGCTTTGATCTCTAGGAAGATTACCGAAGTGTTGATCTCTGGGTCCAAAGGGAGGATCTGTCAAAGATTGTTTGTATGTTGAGGCTGCAACTGTCGTGAGACAGCTATCTGGTGGAAGGAAAGTCATGTGCTATATGAACAGAAAGTGTGAAGCCACCACCATAACGTTTGGGGCATTGTGAGGGAGAAATTTTAAAGCAATCCCTTTTAGCCTGAAGTGAAAGCTCTCACACACGTTTCATTAAATCTTTCCAACATTTGATTCAATTCCATTTGCGATGGCTCTGGGTGGATCTGCTTATTCACCCTGCCAGATGGAGATATTCTGTCATAATGGCAACTGCTTTTGAAGAACGGAAGGGCAGGGAAACGAGACGGCTACACTTGGCAGCGTTGGGTGGGGGGGTGGGAAGAAAAGGAAGAATTCAGTTTTCTCTGAGACTTCATCCTCTTAGCTCTGGCTCGCGTGTTAGTTTTGAAATGCTCTGAGCTGAGTGGATTTGCATGAAAGGTCACCTGAAATGGAAAACAGGGTTTTATTGTCTCCTTTGCTGACATCCCACATTTCATAAGTCTTCATAAGACTGACAGTTGAGCTTTTGTTGGCACTGGCCTCGTAAGAGGGAGAACATTTTCACCAAAAGAAGGAATGAAAGAAATATGTAGATGATTCATTTGTTTAAACGTTTAAGCAATGACTAAGCATCAAACTGAAACATAGGGGGGGAAATTAGAATTCAGATCTGCCCCCACTCTCATCACATTAGGATTGCAAATCTCATTATTTGTGTTGATGTAGCATCTCCATCTGGGTTTGCTTATGCAGGTGAAATTTAGCATAGAAGACTCCACAATAGCTTTATAAAATAGCTTTTGGCCAAGGGCGGGGGGTAACTTTCCTGAAACCTTCCAGGCAAAGGGATCAAAATTCATGCAGCTCAGTGAAAGTGACAATAGCCAGGGACTTAGTGGAGAAAAGTAATGGAGTAGGTAATGGAGTAATGGGGTTGCTAGGAATTGTGTTACTTGTTTTTATAATCGTATACAAATCCTTCCTCCTTTACTTGTATGATTATATTACTATAACCCACCCTGGAACCTTATGGTGAAGGTCAGATAAGAACTATTATAAATACATTTGTTGTTGTTAAATTTATTACCCACTCTTCGCCAACAGGTCTTGGGGCGGGTTTCAACAATCTAAAATTAAGAATTAAAAACAGTTTAAACAGTTTTCAGCCATAGGAGTACCTTGGGCTCACAGGCAGAGCTGTGTCTTGAGCATTCTCTGAATACTCTATAATGAAGAAGCCACATGCACCTCTGTAAGAGGGGCAGACACAGAGAATGCCCTCTCCTGGGAGGTGGCGCTACCAAGAGGGCCGCCTCTGCTGATTTTAACATCTGGGAAGTGCTGTAGGGAAGGAGGTGGTCTGGGAGATAGTACCTTTTGGCAAGGCAACATCAGTGCAACTACACTGGTTTAGAGGTTCAACAGTGATACAGAGGATCATTCACAATAACCACATTGGCGGGTAAACATATGACTTTGGTTTTCAAAGGGGCAGGGATATGCAAGAGTACAGTACTAAACAATTCCCTTTTTGAAGACTAAGTCTACAACCCTATATACACATGAGTGTAAATCCCACTGAACTCATTTGGGTGTTTTGAGTAGGATTGCACTATAAGACATCTCCCTCCATGGTTTTTTTCGGGGGGGGGTACATTTTTACTGCTTGCTAGAAATGTTTGTGGTTGTGGTTATGATAACATTGATTGACTTGCGCAGAATGCCCTCTCAATGTCCAACCAGGAAGAGGTATTTGCCATGGAGATGGGAGTTATGGTCCAGCGCTACCTGGAGAACAGCATGTCACTGCCCTTAAACAATGAGATAGCAGTATTCCAGATAATCAACCAAGTGCTTTTTTGATAGCATCTAAGAATTGCTCTCTTTTACTCTGAGAGTAATCTCTCCTATTCTTAAAACTCATAATCTGTGGCCACTTAACATTCCAGTACTCCTGTGAATAAGGAAAACCAAACAACCCCAGTAACTCAGGGATTCATTATCCTAAACATTCATGGGTAAACACTGAGGTCCAGCACTGAGGGCCTTCTGGCGGTTCCCTCACTGCGAGAAGTGAGGTTACAGGGAACCAGGCAAAGAGCCTTTTCGGTAGTGGCGCCCACCTTGTGGAACGCCCTCACATCAGATGTCAAGGAAATAAACAACTATCTGACTTTTAGAAGACATCTGAAGGCAGCCCTGTTTAGGAAGTTCTCAATGTTTGTTGTTTTATTGTATTTCTAATATTCTGTTGGAAGCTGCCCAGAGTGGCTGAGGAGGCCCAGCCAGATGGGTGTAGGGTAATATGAGCATTAACACAATTCCCAACTCCTTCTACCTTTCAGTATATTCTTCCCCCCACTCTGCTGTAGGGTTTTATTCTGCTAGCTGGGCTGGAGGAGGGGAATAATGCATCAATAACGTCTTCATTATCACTTTAATGCAAGGTTCTTTGGTAGCTACTGCTGAACAGGTACTTTTCGTTGTTGACCTGTCAGCTCAGCTTGCTAATTATTTCCTATTTGCATTTCGGGCAGAGTCCCTGACAACTGCTACTTGCCATCTGTCAGAGGAAACCCAGGATGGGTGGCATTCTGTTTGTTTTATCTCTAAGGCAGCGCGGATAATCTTTCCTTCATAAAAGGGCACTGTGTAGGCTGTTGTTCTAGCAAAAGTCATAAACAATTTAATAATGATATTAATACTGTTTGTGACGCAAATAGGGAGGGGAGGGGAGAAACTGAGATGCATTTATTTCAGTAGCTTTGCTAAGCCGGAGAGGTCCTTGCCCAGCTTTCATCTCAGCACTGCAGCTAGTTGTGTGCACAACAGCACAAAGGATCTTTCCAATCACTCATTTTAAAGTACCCCCAGATGTTACTCCAATATAAACACAATTGGCTCCATCAGTAGCTATCTAGCTATGTATGCAGTAAAATTACAGCTTTGGCTACCGGACAAGAAAACTCAATCAAAGCTGTTTACTGCTGGCAAAAGCCTGTAACCTCAAAATGCAATAACACTTAGGAAAGTGACTCCGCTGCATCTTTTCAACATAGTCTCCCATCCCCAGCCCAGGTATTTATATCAGGCAGGCCTATGATAAAAACCGCATGATAGCAGAACAGCATTGCTTTACAAATCTGGGCACTGATACTGTGCATCCAGCAAAATGAATGAGAACTCAATACACCGATCCTTAGGTCATGTCTGTGTCAGTGCATCCCACCACATCTCATCCCTGCATGGAATGCAGTTGAAAATATTTGGTTAGATCTGCTGTTTAGGGACTATCAGATCACCACCCAGGACAGATTTCTGTTAGTAGCTCCACAAGTGGCAGAGTGTCCCATAGCACTCCTATGGCTCTTTTGCCCTCCTTAAGATGCTGAAAATATGAGGACCAAACCTGACATGTCAGTATCAGACCTCTTTGTTTAACCCTAGGTCTGCCCCAGTCACAGGGATACGGGTCTGCCTTTTTAGAGGAAAGGGAGATGCTCAGGTGAGGGGGAAGTGAACTCTCTTTGCCCCGGCCTCTTATATTCCCTTACCATCGTCTCACCAGATGTTTCTCCTGGAGCTCAGCAGAGGAGAAAAGCACCTTAAGGGACCAGTGGGGCAGAGATAAAGCTGCACAGAGTGTGCATTTAAAACTGAACATAAAATTGTTTTTCCTCTTCCCTGAAATGTGCTCACACTCAATTGAGTACGTGTAGTATCCCGAAACGCTTCTCAACATCCTTCAGGAAGTGTCCCCTTGCGTTAATGCGATCATTCAAGCTGGAGCAGCCATGGTTCTTAACAAATATATCTGAACTATGTAAACTACTCAGTGTGGTGTCTTCAGCAATAAGGTCTTCAGAACAGCTCCTTATTGCTGTTTAACTGGCCATTAGCAGCTGGAATAGACTGATTTCTTATGGGTTATGGCTTAAATAATTACCTGACACTCGGAGCTATTAAAAAACAGTTAATGAATAGTGGGTGGATCCATGAGGAGACAGCAGTTACATACAGCTAGCTGGGGAATGTGTTATATTGGGTAGGAAATGGCACTTCAGATGTTGCTGCCTGGGGGAGGAGGGGGACAGAACAAATTAGATAGGGAGGGCTTTAATAAAATTGTTTGATTTTTTTTTTCTTTAAAAGAACTGTTGACAGCTATTTAGCGACTGCAATGAGCGTTCATCAGTTAATTTTTATGTTACTAGCTTGGCAAAAGCTTGAGGCTCACTTTTTTGTTCTCTTTCTTTTTAATATATAATTAGAGGACATATATCAAAGGGAAAGATACTGTTAAAGGTCCAGTCTTTCCAGGGGCATTGCAAGCCCCCAAGAGTGTAGATTTATTCATGAACTTGTGACCCAGTCCACGACCCAAAAATCACATTAGCTAAGGTAGTTCAAAAAGAACAGAACAATGAGGTAGAAATTCTGGTCTCACCACCACCCTCATAAACACACAATAATATCATATGAGTGTTCAATGTATGCTTCTGCACCATTAGTACTTTCGTTGCTCTGTTTTATAGGCAAAGGCAAAATCTCAACCAGAATTATTTGGGGAGTGGGGGAGAGTCTCTAAAGTCCATTTTCTTTCTACTGTTACTGCATTTTAGTACAAAACAAAAACCAACCCACTCATTTATCAGAACTTCTCCTTACCTTGCTCCTTTTATATTAGGGTTGCAGAGCCTGCGGTTCTCATCATCACTCATCATTAGCCTTTCTGACTGGGGTGGATGTTTGTTGTGGCCTCAGAACATATTATGGAGGGTCACAGGTTCCTCTTCCCTGTTTTGGCACATGCACTCAGCTCTACTCAAAGGGTTAAACATATTACTTAGTTTAACAGGAGATTACTTTCTATGTCAGCAATGTTTGTGTCATATATAAATACCCTCACCTTGGGTATTTACCTCCAGGAACCCAGTAGAACTATGTTTACCACTTTGAGCTCCTTGGAGGAAAGCTGGTGTATAAATGTAATAAAGAAAGTATCCTCAATTTTTTTTTACAGTGGCAAAAAAAAAAAGTCCTATTCACCATTCAGACATTACAAGTAAAATGTTTTTTTCTGACACCTTTTTACTGAATTCCGTTTTCCTTGCCCTTCCCTGTGGCACAGTGAAAAAAGGATTCTGCAGTGTTGGAAACTGGTACATGTGGGATAGGTTTAAATGGGTAGGAGAGGATATATTGATTGCAATTTATCCCACCAGGCTCCCATGCGTGTGGGTTAACAGAGTTTGAAAATCCCATCTTTGGCACCCCTATTAAAAGAATAGGAATTAGTCTGCAAGGCCTCCCTTTGGAGAAAGTTCAACTATAAAGTAAGCTGGCTTCCCCCTTTTTACCCCACTTAACAAAGAATCAGGCAACAACTTGTAATGTAAGTTTAAAAATAAGATTTACCTACTTTATAATCATGCTTTGCTTCACAGCAACCGTAGCAGCAAAAGCCCCATACCTAGAGCTGCAGCAAGCAGGGCCATGACTACATCCAGCACTAATCAAAGGAAGAGAGAGGAACAGGAAGTACTATACAGTGGTGCCCCGCAAGACGAATGCCTCGCAAGACGAAAAACTCGCTAGACGAAAGGGTTTTCCGTTTTTTGAGTCGTTCCGCAAGACGAATTTCCCTATGGGCTTGCTTTGCAAGACGAAACGTCTTGCGAGTTTGTTTCCTTTTCCTTAAAGCCGCTAAGCCGTTAATAGCCGCTAAGCCGCTAATAGCCGTGCTTCGCAAGACGAAAAAACCGCAAGACGAAGAGACTCGCAGAACGGATTAATTTCGTCTTGCGAGGCACCACTGTATGCTGCTTCCTCTCCAGGAGAGGAGGGGAAATGATGTAACACACAGCTCTCTCTACCAGTTGTATTTCTATGGTCTGAGTAGACACTTAGCAATTGCCTGTCAGCAGTACAGCTCTATGGTATTAGCCCCTTCTCATGCTAACTAGCAAGGAATATGCATTAGTTACGTTTGGCTGCTAATCTCCCACAGTTCCATAGTTCATGTTTGTTGTTGTTGTTGTTGTTTAGTCGTTTAGTCGTGTCCGACTCTTTGTGACCCCATGGACCAGAGCACGCCAGGCACTCCTGTCTTCCACTGCCTCCCGCAGTTTGGTCAGACTCATATAGTTCATGTTACCCCATGCTAATTAGTATTATATCATAGCTAGTTGACCTTTTGACCAGCACGCTGGCTTCAAGTATCAATAACTTTCAAAATGTAGTAAGCAGGGCAAAGGCATGGCCCTTGTGTGCTCTGAATAATTGGTCACCAGGGGAAAATATGGAGAGGAGAAATAAAAATCCTCCATCCTTCTTTTCTAATTTACTACTTATCAGGATGTTAATGTTTGTGACATCCTACAGAAATTGCATTAGCCACCTTGGAATCCTTTTGGATGAAAGGCAGTGTAAAAATAAACAAGCCAGTAGATAGATAGATAGATGATAGATAGATAGATAGATAGATAGATGATAGATAGATAGATAGATAATAGAAAGAATGACCTGTACTTCCTCTGGGATGCAGCTTGTTAATGTGAAATCAGTGCACTCTTCCTGCCCTTCACCCCCAGAGGAGAGGCCACCTGGACAAGTTTTAAGAAGAGCAAAGAAAACAGCAGATCTCATCTTCACCCCATTCCACATAGCACCTCTTCCTGGATGGGCTTTCCTTCTATTTTTGCTAGAACAAGGCTTCTGAGTGTAATCAGTGGAAATATAATAAAAAACTGGGAAAACTTGGCCTGGCCATGCAAAATACCTGACCATCATATTGAGCCAATTTGGTGGGACACAGGATCAGCTGTGCTGTATAATTAAATATCTCCTCAGCAAAATCAAGTAGACAGATCCCATGAGGAATGTTTACATGAAGGAAAAACAGCAAGAACATAAACGTAGTGTGTAAGCAATCTGTAGTGTAGTGGATAGAAATGTACTGTGGAAGATGAATAGTGAGAGAGGGCATTATGGAGGGGTATTTTTCCATCTCAAGAAAAGTGAGGGGTCTGAACAGAGAGTAATGGGGATGTGGCACTTTCCACCATCACCCTCCGTTAATTTTACTGCTAGCTTTAATTACGGCAGGATTTTTTTTGCTGTTGGTACTCTTGTAAAAGTGATCCTAGTTAACCATGAAATAGTTTTACAAGAATACTCAGGTCTTAGCTCTGCTTTCTCCCCCTACCTGTTGCAGTGTTCCATGCCTTCCTGCATCACAGCCTTCCACGTAACATGCGCCTTTGAACGCAATCTGGACATGCGGACGCTTTTAGCAGAGAACGATGAGGTGAAGTTCAAGTCCTTCTGTCTTGAGCACAGCAGCGGTGCCACTAAGCCACCAGACGAAGCACGGACGGATGCAGATCAAGGCAAGCTGGATATGGAAAAAGTAACGCTGAGGAAACAGAAGCTCCAACAGTTGGAGGAAGACTTCTATGATCTTGTGAAGCCCTCTGAAGTGGCTGAGAACCTTGACTTGACTGAGGGGCTAGTTGATTTTGTCTATCAGTACTGGAAGTTAAAGAGGAAAGCCAATTACAACAAGCCTCTAATGATGCCCAAAACAGATGAGGTGGACAACTTGGCTCAGCAAGAGCAAGATGTGCTGTACCGACGCTTGAAGCTCTTCACACACCTCAGGCAAGATCTTGAAAGGGTGAGTAGAATTACAGGCTTTGTGAAATGTTCTGCTGTTCTACCGTTTCTAGTAATTCTTTAACTCCAGTGGCCTGATTATCCTAACAATCACTTAAACTTCACAGCACCGAGGCATAGCTTCTGTTCTGATCGCTATCTGTATATTCATTTTCGTTACAATTTTTACTTAAGGAGTTCCATGTTTGCCTGTCTAAATCATCCTTTTGTAAAGATAACGAGAAAGGCCCCAGCCTTCCTCTTTACCTTGGAGCTAGGGAGAAGGCAGAATTTGTCCCCACAGCTGAGTGAGCTTCTGAGGGTTCAGTACAACAGTGGAGAAAATTCCCACTCTCTCTCCAACTCAGAGAGGAAGGTTTGGCTGGCACATGGATCCTCTTGGCCACATGGGACCAAAATGAGCACCAAACCTTTCCTCCTGTTCCTTGGGTGGCTTGTGTGACAGAGTGAAGGACTCAAAGCACTTTTGTCAGCCAGCACCAAAACAAGTCCCTGCTCCTCTTCCCCAGGTGACAAATGAGGGCTGCAGTCCTGTGTATATTTACCAGGGTTAGGCCGGAATGAACACAATCAAACTTTACTTCCATGTAAACCAAAAGTTGTGGGTCCATGCTTACTACTATGTGTTGTAGGTCCATGACGTGGGTGTCCTTCAGCACAGACCCATTGGCTTGGTTAGAATTAGCTCTTGAAAAGCTCAGTAGGAAAGTCAGAGGACAAATTCCCATAAATCCTGTAGTCCCTTCCACCCCACCACACATTTTGCTCCCTCCTAAGCAAATTAAAAGGGGACGCGGGTGGCGCTGTGGGTAAAAGCCTCAGCGCCTAGGGCTTGCCGATCGAAAGGTCGGTGGTTCAAATCCCAGCAGCGGGGTGCGCTCCCGTTGTTCGGTCCCAGCGCCTGCCAAACTAGCAGTTCGAAAGCACCCCTAAGTGCAAGTAGATAAATAGGGACTGCTTACTAGCGGGAAGGTAAACGGTGTTTCCGTGTGCGGCTCTGGCTTGCCAGAGCAGCAATGTCATGCTGGCCACGTGACCTGGAAGTGTCTCCGGACAGCGCTGGCCCCCGGCCTCTTGAGTGAGATGGGCGCACAACCCTAGAGTCTGTCAAGACTGGCCCGTACGGGCAGGGGTACCTTTACCTTTAAGCAAATTAAAAGCACACTGCTAGGATAGTATAGACAGAAGGGTATCTTTTCTCATTAAATTTATTCTTTCCTTTGTGATTAATTTTTATAGTAGGAATCAGTTTCTAGATAAGGCCAGGGAATGCTTTGTTAATAATCTTTTCAAAGGAATGGTCAATGTTTGTGAAGTTGCTCAGTGTAACAATTTGTGATGACAGACCTTCATCTACTTTTGTTTTGCCCTACTTTTCCCCTGCTGTGTCTAGTGCAGGCTGTGCTGCCGCATGCAAGACAGTAAAAGGAAATTTATTAGAGTCCTGCTTTCTAAAGTTCCACGTTGCCAGAACTCTTGGACTCTTGTAAATTTCTCTTTTATTAGCTATGCATACAAAAACAAACAGTGGCGGAACCAACTGTGATGCTACAGAAAGTAGAGGAGATGGGGGCAGTAGAGGAGATGGAGTTGGCACTGCATAAACAACTGAGGAGATGGAAGACACAAAACAAATTGCCTAGTGAACATCTCTTGAGAAAGGAAAACACAGAGAAGCAGAAAGGAAAAGCTAGGAATGGGAAGCAAAGAGGATTTAATAGTGCATGGGAATAAATGTACAAGGGGTAAGCACTGACAGAGTATATTGCAGGTGTCATCCTTGTGACGGACTGCCCTAGTTGTGCCAGGTTCAGAGGGGAAACTGTGGAGGTTCAAATAAGCCATGAAAATATAAGATCCGTCCTGATCAGAGAGAGAAAGATGAAGTATCAAAGCATTTTGTAAAACACTGTATTCACACTTAATTTTGATTCTTTCGCCTATGATTATTTGTGTGCTTATGTTAAAATGTATCGCTTGCCTTTCTACCATAAACAGTACTCAGCAGAAATGCAATTCCTGATCTCTACCATGTGAAGCTGGGGGACTTCATGCATTTTGTGTATAAATGCCACTGGGCCTTAGGAAGTGTTCTGTATGTAAGAGATGAAGTGACCCAAAGAAATTGCTCTTCATGAAGGAATTTAATGCTTCACTTTAAAAAAAGACACCTTTTTACCCCCTCAAAAAACAACAACAACCCAGCTAGTGTTAAGTTTCTTCCAACTCATTATTATTTCTGCACCAGCTGCTGCTACAGTCTTGAAAACAGGTTTGAAACCAGCATCATGCCCCCAAAATGCTATCCAGATCTCTTCTTATGATGAGGATGGGGCATCTGAGGCCATCCAGATTTTGTTAGATTCAACCAGTCCAACAACATCTGGAGGGCCACAAGCTCCTCATCCCTGTTTTATGATGTAATTCAGGGGTGTCAAACTCAAATTCATCGGGGGCCACACCAGCAGTTTGGTCACCCTCAAAGGGCCGGTTGTATCTGTAGGACTTACAGTACAGGAGAGAAGGGTTCAGGCAGCCGTTGGATCTGTCACATCACAGGATGGCATGCGCTCAATATAAAAACAAGTGGAGGTTTCCTGAATGCATGTAAAGTGGAGGTTTCCTGTGTAGAACGGCCGGCGCCGCTAGAGGGCAGACGTTCTCTGGCTTGTAGGCTGCCGCGCATGCGCTGAAGAGGCGGCTTTCTTGTGTCAAAAAAAAAAAGGTGAGAATAAAAGGTGAAGGCTGGCGGCCGGCGGCAGCTACGCGGGCCACATGACGAGGTCTGGCGGGCCGGATTCGGCCCGCGGGCCTTGTGTTTGACACCCGTGATGTAATTGATGGTCAGAAACCTGTTTTCTCTGCTCTTTTACAAATATTTTAATTGATATTAAAAACTATATAAGAACCCAAATTAACTTTATCCATAAGATACAATTGCATCTAGGACAATATTGTTCATAAAAACCACTATTGACACCATTTCAATTCAAAAGAACCAGGAACAAGAACAGGGCCAAGAAGAGGAATATCACAACACTTGAGTTGAGGCTAATAGTTCAAGTTCTTTAATAAAGTACTAGTTTTTGTGGAGCGTGTAAAGGGGCAGGATCCTGCATTAAACAGGAACAGTATGTGACAGATCACAGGATGAGGCATGGATTGAAAGGGGGGGGGGACTCGTGCCAATCTGAAATATCTTTAGAATTGGACTAAAACATTTTAAAAGTGGAATAGAGATTTCCAGAACCAGATATAACCTTTATCCTAGATGCCATGATTATGCATTGAGAAACTGTGTTGGATTTACAAGATTGCTCTTCAGCCATGTACATTCCCTTCACCCTTTATTTTCTTCCTGTAACATAGGAAAATGATTCTCTTGATTACATTTCTGATCTCTGTAATTTTAGGATGTTGAAGCTGTGTTTTTAGCAACAAAGACAAACACAGCAGAACAATCTTCCACCGAGAGCCACTGTCCTAACTTCCCCCGAGACTCAGGGAATTCAAAACAATGCAGCTGTAAAAATTAATTTATCTTAATCAACTTCAGCAAAGCTTCATAATCTTTCAGTTACTTGACAGAGAAGTGCAGCTTGTTTATGGTGTGTGTGTAGTTTTAGCAATGCTGGTGAAAGTAGTTAAATGGCCAATAAAAAGCATTTTTCTCTTAGACATATAAATTAAGAAACTGAAAGACATTCTAACATATATCTTGCCAGAGGCAGCTGTTTCCCATGTAAAGAGATTTCAGTCTGATGTTCACTTCAAACCATAATAAATCGAAAGGTGTGTGTTAAAATATAGATCACATAAAATATATAGTGCATAAATCACATTTCTATACTTGAGTCTTGGGTATTTATTCTTACCGTTTTTTTCTAAAAACTTTTCCACCTCTAAAACAGGACCTTCCAAAATTTCTTGAGATAATACTAACATTTTGTATGGGTTTGCAGTCCAAACCATGTAGGTCTGACAGGAAAGTGCATCACTCTTAGAGCAGTCATGATACGTTTATGCAGATAAGACGGTATTGTGTCGCACCAACTTCCTTCTCTGTCATCCACTTTCTTATTGCTTCCTCCACCAGTTTTATGGTGGGACTAGGAGCTGTCTCAGTATATTTCAATGTGTGTATTATAAGACCAAGCAAGCAATGTATAGAGAACTTCACCTAGGGATCATCAAAAAGAGCATACAGGATATATTGACAGTGTGAAGACTGCTTTCTAGGGTGTTTACAGATAAGACAAACATTTTACTATTTAAACCTTCTTCCATAAAAACCTACTATTCCCATTACAGTGCCGCCCAATTTCTAGACCCATCTGGTTTTTTTAATGCCACAAACCTCCCATCATCCTCTGTTGGTTCACCTCAATGGTCCCAGCTTTCACAACCAGTTGTCCGCATTTCTTTTAACCCGTTTTTATACCACACCATTCGCAGTCTCTGTAGTCCATTTTCACCACCAGGTTTTGATTCTAAGCAGTCCATAGTATTTAGTTTAGAGACTATCCTTCCTTTATTATCCTGGGTTACAGCCTGAAAGTTCATGTAGAGGCCCCTTGTTGGCTATCTTCAGTTACAGATATTGCAGCTGGGGAAAGTGTCAAAGGAGTTGCAAAGTATAATCATGGCTTGAGTTGGTATAAATTTCCAGATTTGAACCTAATGCAGAAGTGGACTATGTGAAAGGGAAGTTCACAGAGCAAAGTGGACTATCCACCCAAACCTAAAGTTAAGGAGGGCAGAATATCTGGCACAATTCCTACCAATAGGCAGCTATTTAAGCAATGATTGGTCTCCCCACAAAAAAACCCAACAAAAGAAACATCATTGATAGGTTTAAAATAAGCATTCTTTGATCACTGACTACCCACAGGAGTTAGAAAATACTGAAAGCCTCATCTATTAGCTGGAGGTGTCATACCTTATAGTATTTTAAGGCTTGTTCCCGTGAGCAGATTGATTCTTGTGTTATTATTCAGGATT